ATTTTGTTTAAGACGTCAAATCTTTATGCATCTATTTTTTTCTTTTAAAATGCTTTACTTATTCTTTTTTTTTTTTTTAATATTTATTTCAGCTTTCACATTTATATCAAATAAGCATATATCTTCACTCATGTGCATATTAAGAATACCATATACAGAGTACATTTGCATACCTAGATATACATTTACACACATACACTTATGTGAAAGTTGGTTTAATAAGGAAGAAGAAAAAGAAGAAAGAAGAAATAGAGGAAAAGGAGGGAAAAAGTAAAAAAAATAAATAAAATAGAATAAATAAATAAATAAATAAATAAATAAATATAATAAAGAAGGGGGCATAGTATTTTTTTACATTAAGGTGGTAATGAGCAACATTCATTCCTTAAAAAATTTGCATATATACATATAAATTATAACATTTCACATATTCTCTACCAGTTATTTTCAAACTCTGTATATTTACATTGTTTCAATAGTAAAAATTTCTCAATCAAGATTCTTTCCACAATAATTGTTTTTAGAGTCATTGTACTTAACAGTGGATGGTTTTTATATTTACTTGAAAAAATGTAATTTTTAATTATCAGAGTAATTAAATTTTGCACTTTATGTGTATCCCTGTTCTTATATTTACCAAATAATATTGTTGTTCTGTCAAAAACTACAGATATGTTAAACTTAGACAGAAACCACTCTTCAATATCATTCCAAAGCTCTTTTACTAAATAACATTCAACAAAAAGATGGTCAATTGACTCAATGTCATTCTTACAGAAACTGCAAGCTGGGGACTCCTTTATCTTTAGTTTAAAAAGATATGAATTTGTTGGAACTATTCTATGTAAAATTTGAAATTGTAACCACTGAAGTTTTGATTCTTGTGTAACTTTAAATGGGAGTTCAAAAATTTTACTCCATTCAGGCAAAGTGAATAAATATCCATCTTCATTCCATTTTAAAATTGAAGTACTTGTTTCTTTCTTTCTATTAATAAGAATGTTATACATATCTTTACATCCTTTCACATTAATATAAAACATCTTCACAGAATTGGGTATATTTGGGCCATAAGAAATCAACATATTCATTTGGTTTTTGTTTACAAATCTATCTAACACTGCCTGTTTCAAGCCAGAATATTCAACAAAATTTGTTTTTACACTGAGATCTTGAAGGGTGTCGAGGCTTAAAAAATTATTATCAAAGTCAAACAAGTCACTGATGAAAACAAAACCAGCATTGAAATAACTTTTAAGAAAGATAGAAGACTCGCCCATGATGATTTTTGGATTATACCATATGTGTTCTTGGAATAAATTTGTATCTTTCTGTTGTTCTACAAGACATATCTTAAGCCAACTTTTAAAGACTTCTATCCAGAAAGTGTTTGTTATTTTCTTACATAATTTAGCAGTAAAATCTGGACCCATTAACCAAAGATTTTTAATCTCTGTATGTAGTTGTGCTTGAAGTAATTTTACCCATTTGGAATCTGAATGGATTAATCTTCTTATCCAACTTGATTTTAATGCTATCATAAACTCTGAATAATCTACCATTCTAAGGCCACCATCTCTATAGTCTTGAATGATAGTATTTCTTTTTATTTTATGGACTTTACTTCCCCAAAGAAAAGAATAAATTTCATCCTCAAATACTTTTACAATTTCTAATGATGGATTAGGTAGAGTAAGTATCAAGTGATTTAATTTAGGGATAATCAATGTTTTAATTACAGTTAACCTACCAATGGGGGTTAACTTTCTTACTTTCCACTGATTTAATATTTTTTTTAATCTCACTTAACTTTGATGTATAATTGAGATTAATCATATTATGTAAGTCTACTGAAAATTTAATCCCTAAAAGATCAAAAGTTGTGCTACTCCAGTCTAACTTCCATCTAGAATGGTGATATACATCCTTTGAAATTTTTTTACTACCAATCCATATCATTTTTGTTTTTTGAAAATTTATTTTGAGTCCTGACACTTTTGCAAAGTAGTCTAATTCTCTAAGAATTCCATCCATAGATTCAGGTGATCCATCAGAGATAAGTGATGTATCATCTGCATATTGAGAAATCTTGTACTCTTCTCCGTCTATTGTTATACCTCTTATATCTTTATTTTTGCGAATTAAAATACCTAAAATTTCAGCACATAGTAGGAACAAATAAGGTGATATAGGATCCCCCTGTCTACAACCCCTTTCTGGATATATATAATTAGATATAAAACCATTTTGTATGACACAGGATTTAATATTGCTATAAAAAGTCTTTATCCAGTTTTTAATTGAGGTTCCAAAATTGAAAAAATCAAGTGTTTCGTAAATAAAATTCCATGAGATAGTATCAAAAGCCTTTTCAAAATCTATAAGCATAAGTAATCCTGGAATTTGATTGCATTCTGTATAATCCATTATATCATAAATCAATCTAATATTCTCTCCAATATATCTTCCTTTTTAAAATCCAGTTTGATCTGTATGTATTAATTTATTTAAGACTTTTTTTATTCGCTCAGCTATACACCCAGATGCTAGTTTGTAAATAACATTTAAAAGGCTAATGGGGCGCCAATTTTTTAAAAATTCTCTTGGTTTTCCTGCTTTTTGGTATGCAAGTAATAATTCCTAATCTATTTGCATCTGAAAAATGCATCGATTCATTAGCATTATTTATTGCCCTTGTCACAAATGTACCAATATCTTTCCAGAAGAATTTAAAAAACTCGCATGTAAATCCATCCGGTCCCGGACTTTTATCATTTTTCATATTTTTCAAAAAATATAAAACTTCTTCTTTAGTTATTGGTCCCTCTAAACTTGCTGATTCCCTTTCACTTAGTCTGGGTATATTATAATCTTTTAATCTAGTGTAAATACTATCATCTGTTTCCACATTCTCTCTTTTTTTATATAAATTTTCATAGAATCTTTTTGTTTCATTTAAAATAGCTTCTTGATTGGATATCGTACAGCCATCTTCTTTGATAATTTTTGGGATTTGTTTACTGATATAATTTCTAGACTCTAAACTTGTAAAATACTTTGTCGGTTTTTCCCCTTCCTCAACCCATTTAACTCGAGATCTAATGCACTGACCTTTCATTTTATTTTTTTCTTATTTCTTCAATTTCCTTTTTTTATTTATTTGTGAGATCATTTGCATTACTTTCAGTTATGTTCTGTTCCAATTCTAATAACTCTTTTTCTAACTGAGCTTCACGCTCTTTTGTTTTCTTTTTCTTAAAAGAAGAATACGAAATAGTTTTTCCATTAACAGAGTATCCAGAAATAATTTATCACATAATATAAATTGTAAATTTTCATCATTAACAGAATCCAAGTTTTCCATGTTATAAACTGGACATGCATATTGGGTTTTGACATCAGTTATCTTTTGCTTTATTAGGTCAACATAAACTTTATCTGTTAACAAAGAATTATTTAATTTCCAGAAGCCTCTCCCTTTTGTAAATTCATTTAGCTTACAATATGCAACTACTGGGGAATGATCAGAGCGATAACTATTTTCATATTTAATATCTGGTGACATGGGCAGTAGAGATTCAGACATTAAGAAAAAATCTAGTCTTGCCTGTTTAATAGGATTTTTTCTCCTCCATGTAAAACGTCTAAGTTTTGGATTATTTTTTCGAAAAACATCAATAAGATTTAAACTATCTATTAAATTTAACAGTTCTTCTCTTGCTTTTGGATTATTTAAGTTTCTATAATTCATAGAGTCCATCTCTTTATTCAAAATCAGATTAAAATCACCACCCATTATTATATATTGCGACACATAAAAATCTTCAATCTTTTTTAAAAGGTTTGAGTAAAAAATTGGAGCATCTAGATTTGGACCATGAATATTTATCAATAGAAATTTTAAACCTTCAATTGTAACATCAGCAATCAAAAAATTCCCACAGTCATCTTTACAAACTTTGTGTACTTCTAGTTCACAGTTGTTATTAAAAAGGATTGCTACCCCACGAGAATTTGACTTAAAGGAACTGAAAAAGGTCCTGTATCCCCATTGTGACTGTATAAAATTTTCTTCACTACTTGTAAAATGTGTATCTTGAAGAAAATAAACATTATACTTTTTAGCTTTTAAATAATTCAAACCATCTTTTCTCTTATTTTTATCACCAAGACCCTGGCAGTTAACAGTAAGTATTCTCAATTGATTATTCTCGACATGGTCCTCCATAAAACGCGTGGTAAATTTGTTTTGTCAAGCCACGATAAGTGGAAAAAAGAAAAGAAAAAAGAAGGAAAATAATGCAATGTAACAAAAATGAAACATATTTACAAAAAGAAAGTTTTGTAGCCTCAAATGTGGTCATAATAAAGCGAAAGAATAGCCGACTTGGGCTTACCTTAAAGATAAACAACAAAACATTGCACCCCTCATAACCGGACATGCAGTACTACAACATAATTTGAAAAAAATGTCAGAATACCCTATAAATTTCCGGAAAAAATTACATACTACTGCACACTATCTTTTTACCGTGAAAAAAGCAACGGAAAATAGTAACTTTGCGTTGCTTTAAGTATACAAATGAACAATATTTTTTATATATATAAAAAAAAATAACAGTTGTAGCTTTTATGAAACTACAGAAGACAAAAGAAAAAATAAATTCTATACTATTATTTTTATTTTTTTTTAAAAATAGAATTGAACTGAAAATATATTTAAAAACAAACAAACAAACAAAAACAAAGCATGAGAAGAGAGAGAAAGAATAAATATAAAAACATTAGCAAACAGTATCAAAATTGAGACATAATTTATATCTTCATGTATATATACATAAATTATATGTAAGGTTTCTGGGTGTACTCATTCTCATACAAATAACCACATAATTATTGTGGTTTTAAAAAAAAACCTGTGCATTATATTTTACCACTATGTAAGAATTACCTAAAAATGTTATAAATTAAATGGGGTGGGGGGTTATGGCAATATTCGTTCACAGTTTATTGGCAGCATTAAGCACGGCATCACAAATGATATCAAAACGTCTGGGCCCAATATGATTTCCCGATTTTCTGGAAATAACAAAAGCTACGTTGGTGGCACTTTGATCTCCTAGAAGCCGAACTACTCTCCGCCCTGCGCCGTATTCATCATCGTCACAGTATCCGTCGCGAACGTTTCCTTGTGCGTCTTGAATTCGATAGGCTAGGACGTTATGATGCGCGCTAGCGAAGTTTGGATCACTCATGACTTTTTTGTAAAAGTGTCTAACCTCTGCGTATGTATTCACTTTTGTTGCCACCGCAGTGAAAACATTGCCACCCTCATGGATACTATCACTCTGCACTACCTCTATCTCGTTAAACTTTTCCTCTTCTGCTTCGTCCACAAATAGTAGATCTTCAGCTCTGGGTGTTGTAACTTTTTCACGAAACACATTTCCGTTAGGAAACACAACTTTATTTCCAATTATCTTTGTCTCAACGTTGTTACTCCTGTATTGTGTGTTGATCTCCCGTAGCCTCCTTCTACTCTCGTTGATTTGCACCGGTGTTTGTGGCGTAATGTAAAACGGTATAGTGATCTTCTCCCTTTTCTCTTTTTTATCTTTCTCGCGCACTGCTCTCTGGGCTGTGAGGATCCGGTCCTTATCATTAAGGTCTTGCAATTTTCCTGTGATGGTTCTTGGTTTAATACCTAATAGGCGAGGCCCATTGCGGTGGATCTTGATAAAATTGACATCAAGTTTTAAGTGCTCGCTAATAAGCTGATGAACTTTTGTATTGAGATTTTCGTTGTCCTCTTCTGGCAAATTATGAATTAAAATGTTATCTTTCATTGATCTTTCTCTCAGGTCTACAATTTCTTTTTCTTGCTTTGTCACTCTCCTGTCTAAATTTACTACGATTGATTTTAACAGTTGGAGTTCTTTGCGGAGAGTGACATTTTCCATTTTTAGAGTTTCAATTTCAGATTGGTTGTCTTCATGTTGTTGGGCGATGTAAGTTATTCTATCGTCTAAACCATCCTCATTCCATAAATCTTTCTGCATATTGTTCACTGATTCCTGTAGTGTATTAAATGCGTCCATCTTGGCCGTTATTGCCCGTAGGCTAGTGTCAATTACAGACATATGGCTTAATGCGCCAGTGACCGCTGAGGGTAAAGACGTTGAACCAGGGCCTCGTACCTGTGAGGAGTTCTCACCCTTCATTTTAGAGTCACTCATTGCGATATTGAATAGCAAAAATCTTTTTTACAAATATAAACGGCAAAATCGCACTAATTCGGTTGCAAATATGATCACAAACACCAGTGCAAAAGTTTAAGGCACAGAAAACAGCTTTACATACCCAAAAATCGACTAAATCCTCTCTACCTTAAAAAATGACCATCATCGTCACTAGTCACGTGTGATAATTCATGCTTTACTTATTCTAATATTTATATCTATTCACTTTAGACTGATCGTCAACTATCAGTTACAAAAACTGTACATATAAAGACATTATCACAACTTCCAGACCAAAGAAAATAAAGCTTCAGTTAGTCTTATTATATCCCAGCTTTAACAGTATTTTTTCAAACATAAATCAGCAACTATAAAAAGGCACAGTTACAGCCCTAACGGTAAAGCTGTAGGGATTATTGTTAACCAAAGTAAAAAATGTATATATCATCATTGATCAACAATAGGGTTCGCCGAGCACCGTTTTTGGTTCTAAATTTACTATGCTATGGGGTATACGGAAAACGCTTGATTTCACCAAGACGCTTGTAAACAAAGTTAAAAACGTCAAAACCGTAACAGTACTGTTTTGCAAGACATCGCTTTATTTACATTTAATGAAGCGATTTAAGAGAGGATATGAGAAAAGGAGGAATGTAAACACGTGGCAGAAAGGCAGATTTGATGGAAAGGTACTTAAAGTTAATAATTCAGCAAAACATGGGAATTACTATCGTTCGTAGTAATAATGTTGTGCAGACGAAAGTGTTCACTTGTTGACGCTAGAGGACGTACTGCATGTACCTTTGTCTCTCACATCACAGTCATTGTTATGTCTAACATACTCTTCATTGTCAGATTGACACTTAACTTCAATATAAAACTTGTAGAATGTGAAGGCGTCCAGTCTCTGCTGTCTGACCGTGAATTGGATAAAAGTAGAATGTATATGGCCCTCAAAGATGTGTCAACAACTTCAGTCATAACATTGAGATCTGCCTTGTATCTGTGTTCAACAATAGATGTGTACTTTATGCACAGACTTGCAGGTTTGTTTACTGTGTATGTTCATTAATAATCATACTTATATTAATGCAAGACATCGTGCACTCATACACACACCCATGTATAGGGATTTTATATTTTAGTAGTAGTACAGTTAAAATTTGGTATCTCGAACATTGAAATTTGAGTTCCGTAGAGTTTGAGATAACAACATCTGTATTTACCTGTACTATGCAGCCCTAGTTAGAATAATCTAACTGTGTCTTGGGTCAAGCCCTCACCGGATCTGTAGAACAATATCATTTTAATGATAGAATCTATATGCAGCCCATATTCCACACTTGAAATGTTAATGATAATTCTTGTTATAGATACTTTAATGAATCACTCCCAATTTTGCAAATTAAATAAAAGATCAGAAGTATTTTTAAAACATATATTACTCTTCGCAATGTTTATAATTCATCTTGATTGTTTAACATTTTATTTAGGTCAACTAGAACTTCAAACTGTAGATAAATGGCACAGAAGAAGTTTTGAATTCACACTATGAATAACTGCGAGGCACAGGGTACCATGGAATGTGTAAACATTAAGCTGCAGTGTTCCTGATGTTACACCATTTTACTGCTGGGCAATCTTGAATAGATTGATGATCAGGAGATCATGTACATAAAATCTCCAAACATTTCATAATTTAGCCAAAATATTCATTTTTCAGGTATAAACTTAATCCCAAATTTACTTAAATTAAACACATGTAATTAAATAATAGGCTTGAGTATCGCAAGCTACCTAACGATATGATACATATCACGATACGGTCATGTGATACAAGATGTATCATGATACAGCTGTCAAAAATTGAATTGACTGTTATCTTAACACATTATTTATTGCTAACATCTACAGTTATAGAAAATACAAAAATAATATCTTGATACCCCTGACCAAAGTTTATGATAGGTGGATTTATAGTCTTGACAATGTATTTTTCTTTGCTACCTTATTTTCAGTCATTTTAAAACACTAAAATTTGTTAGCTTGTATGTAGAAGTTTCAAACAAAACAATGAAAGTTATAATGTACTGTATCACGATATATACATGGCGATAATACGATATGCGTATCATAAGCTCTTGTGATCAATACGATCGATGTATTGCTGTATCGTTACATCTCTATTAAATAACTGTATAGATAGCCTATAGCCTTCCTGACAATATATTTACATACTATACATGAGTTCTGCATACTTCAGTCAAAATATACAGTAACAATCATTTTACCACTTCTGAAGCCTGATATTATGGATAAATAAACTTTTATTTATTTCAGCCTCTCCGATTGAAGCAGCAGATCACTGAAGAAAGAGATTTTAATGACCTCTTTGATAACTTCTGGCCAGAACCATTATAGAAATAAGCATGGATTCCATGACAGGGACAGGAATATGGTCATCAACTACTGTTTAAATACTTCAATTTCTAGACTGTGGATCATGAATTCAATGAAATTGTATTTAAATTGATTTCAAAGTGAGATCAGTTGTACATCTCTTAATGAGAACTTCACTTCTCTGATACATCTCTTTTACATTCTCAGATTTGTTAATTCAAAAAGATTTTAATTCTGTTTATCTAAAATTGGATCTCCTCTCTTCATTTTAACAGCCTATCTCTGGGAAAAACATGCAAAATCTGAAAAATCGTCCGAAAGGGTATATAGAACTTTTCTTTTTGTCATATATTTTTAAGATCTAGGTTGTATCAAGATATAAAAAATAAATTTAAAAAGTGTGTCATTTGCTTCTATTTTTAGTAACAAACCAGTTTCATTATTTAGCAATAATTGGCATTGAATAATAGGTAAAAATAGGAAAGTTTGTGGCCCCATAAAATCGCTGCAAAATTATTTCCGAACCAGTATTTTATTATATCATCAATACATATATGTCAAAGATTACAAATACTTATTTTTCCCAATGATTACATATTTTTTCAATCTATGCTGAAAGCCCTATGTAAGGCTGAATTTGGAACTTCAACTGCTAATTCAAATAGTCTAACAAATCTCGGTCAAGTTATAAATAATTTACAATTGATTAACGTTCACTTCTTGTAGCAACATTTGTCAGTGTACAGAGTAGTTTATTGCACCCCATTGAATTAGAAATGTCCTGATCCAGATTTATATGGTAGAGTATCAAACTTCATGCACAATCTTTGATCAAAAGTTCATTTGATAATGTATTTTAATACTGGAACACATCTATCCTTTTACTTCATTATTAATTTGTAAGAAGTAATCCAAAAAAAAATATTTTAAAGTCTGATGTGAAGAAAAACAATAATCAAAAGCTCTTTACAGCTTTTGAATGACACAAAATCATACAGCCAGTTAGTTTTGACTGACTTTTTTGGTAGATAAAGAGTTGATTTTTGGTAGACTCTTGATATTGATTCATTTATTTACAGATCAAGTATAAGTGTAAATGTTGAATGACCATTTACATGAAAATTATTGCCCTTACAATTAAAATTCTAATTTATCAATTTTTCCAAACACTTTTTTTCCTGATGTTCTTGTAGATCAAAAGTTGACAATTCTCAAATGGGACCTAAAACTACATACAATCAATCAATCAAAAGTTGACAACTGCATCAAGAAAACAAAAAAAAACAAAAAAAAAAAAAATGAAATTTTGTTTATATTTAATTTTCAAATGTTGAGACTTTCAAATATTTAAAACTTTTTTTTCTTGCTGGGACATTAATGTTACATCTAGCTTTGGTCAGCTTTTTTGACATTATTGTCTTTCATTTTTGAGGCGTAATAAAAAAATGTGTTTGTTTACGATTACCAGACTGACCCTATATTTAATTGCCAACCCAATTTTTTTTTCGTCGTAAAAATCCGGAAGTCACTCGCCGTTCAGTTTAATTGTACTTAATATTTTCATTAAAATGCAAAACCTGAAATTGGTAAGAACTATGCAATGGAATCACAATTTTTTTTACCTCGACCTTCCCTATGACCTTAACTTTATTTTTCAAGATATTTTATCAAACTTTATAAAAAGTTAGACATAATGGTAAGAGCAATCTGACAATGTCATTTTTTTTTACCTTGACCTTCTCATGACTTCACGTTTTTTCTTCACTTAAATGACTTTTGATTTTTGTAAGTATATACTTAATATTCTAAGTCAGTATTGGTGACAGTAATGACTTTGTCATAATTTTCTTACTTAGACCCTTCCAATGACCTAAAATCTCTATTCCTTCATTTGCAGTTACTTAAGTTCTGTATGTACAAAAATAAATAAATTATTCTTCCTTTAATATTTTACTGATATATGCTCAAAGAAGGATAGTATGTTTCTTTTCATTTCATGGTGCATTTTGTTTCATAGGTAATACAGAATTTTCCAAGATTGCAGGACAAAGGAGTGGAAGTGTTTCATTTCAACAAAACCATAAGCTAATTGATCGAGTGACAGATGATACCAGTTGTGGAATCACTGTAGCAAGCAAGGAGACTGGTACTCAACAATACATGTATTACTCCTGTCCAGATTCATCAGGCCAAAAAGTATTTGCAAATGTTGCAATCTTGAAAAACATTTGGCAGTTGGAAATCTCACTCATTACGGTACTTAAATTCAAGATAAAGTAAGAACATATATTGCTGCAAATTTGTATGCCACAAAATGTGAAAGCATTAGAGAGTTTCACAATTTACTGATACAAACTGTAGTGTCCTATCAGAACAGTTATTGATGGAATCCAGTGAGAGCCAACAGGAAAAAGAATTGGTTGGGCATTAAAATACAGAAAAAGATTCTACCAGAAAGTGAAGGATTACTTGTCTGTGATATGTGAAGAATGTGAAAGAACAGTAAATTGTCCAGATTGTGTTTTATGGCAGAAGAATTGAAGAAAGTAACAGATGAAAATGATGAAAGATTTTATGAAAGACATGAATGGCTAAGT